GTGTGTGTGTGTGTGTTGTAGATGGACACAATACTTTTATTTGTGATGCTGAGGCTTGAACCCAGTGCCTCACACACGCTAGGCAAGCCCTCTACCACCGAGCTACAGCCCCAGCCCCCATTCATTGATTCTTCATTTTACTTCTTGCACTTTAGGAGTCTTGTTGAGGAATTTGGTTCTGAAGCTGACAAGGTAGAGATTTGGGCCTACTTTTTCTTCTAGTAGGTGCGGGGTCTCTGTTTTAATGCTTATGTCCTTGATCTACTTGGAGTTGAGTTTTGTGTAGAGTGAGAGATAGGAGTCTAATTTCATTGTGTTGCATATGGATTTCCAGTTTTCCTGGCACCATTTTTTGAAGAGACCATCTTTTCTCCAATGTATGGTGCCTTTGTCTAGTATGAGAAACTGAATTTACATGGGTTTGTCTCTGTGTCTTCTCTTCTGTACCATTGGTCTTCATGTTTGTTTTGGTGCCAGTACCATTGTGAGAAAACTAAAAATTGAAGTAATTTGCACCCGAACACAGATTAAGTGTGTTAATAAGTGACAGATTTTGTTTAGATTTTTGTAACCTCAAAATCTTGTGCCTCACTGTAAAGACTATTATGGTAAGAAAATGTTTTTATAAAAATTGGTGAAAACAATAGTTTTTTTAATTATAAAAAGTTACAGAACATTAATTGCTCAGGTGGTATGGAGATATGAACTGTGCTGGCCAGTCTTCTGTAGCCTAGGAGGAAAACTGCTATCTTTCAGACTCGTTAGCATCACAAGGAAAAATGAATTACTATGGAGTTCCCACTTTCTGTGGTTTCCCCATCCTTACTAATGCTTCCAAAATGTGAAGGTTGTATTTGTGGTTGCTGAGCTTACATGAATTTATGCCATATATTCTACTTTATTTTCATTAAGTTTATTATTAGAGGTAGAGGGGATTGTACAACATGCAGGGAGTGATCGGGTGAAGAACAAAGTTTCTGATTATTACTCAGTAATGTGAAGACTGGCTCAGTCAGTTGTAAAATCTGAACCTAATTTAATTTGCTGAGGCATGCGTTTCCACCCAACTTCGTCATCACAGAACTCTGCAGTCCTGTAGTCCAGCCCTTAGCGCTGGCGCCTCTCCCCACTAAGTCTGTGTAGGGAAGGCATCTGGTCAGCATTGATTCCGACAGCGCAAACTGTCGCCTTCTGCACTTCCCTCCGTTCCCCCCCAGAGGTTTAACGTCACATTCTCAGTGCCTTTAAAATTCTCCAAAAAATGATTTGGTAGCATGTGACCTTTCTACTTGAGAACCTTGTTATGCTTCATACTTCAAAATATCAAGACAGGTGTGGTAGTGCCCATATGTAATCCCAGCGACTCAGGAGGTGGAGGCAGGAAGATTTGAAGTTCAAAGCCAACCTCAGCAACTTGGCCAGGCCCTAAGCAACTTAGTGAGACCTGTCTCAAAAAATAAAAGAGGACTGGGGCTTCAGCCTCAGTGGTAGAACCCGAATGTTCAATTCCTAGTACCAAAAAAAAAAATGTTTTGAATAAATATTTTGCCCTTCCTCGAACATTTATTGCTTGTTGGCACATATTACTGATTTTTTAAAAATTCATTGTACCTGGCTCTTTTTTTTTTTAGGACATATTCATAGTTAGCCAGATTCATATAACTGAATGTTGTTGATGTTCAAGAACTTTCTTCTTCTGAATTGATGACTGTTATATTCTTATGTTCTAAGAAACTGGAATTTAAATTCTCCTCATCAGCCTCTAAATACTTCAGTATACCCACCTTTATCATCAAGTCCTTGTCACCCTATATCAGGCCTCTTACTAAATAGGACAGTTGTGGGCACCATTTCAGATGCAAAAATACTCCAGAGTGAATAGGATGTGGTCAGGACAGGAACCCATACCTCTAACTCAGAGTACCACCTGGAATCTTCTGGTTAAAACACCAACAGAGCCCTCCTTTCCTTTCAGGTGAAAATATTTCAAGCCACGGGGTTGCCACAGCACTTGGCCCACTTCGTGTTCTGCAAATACGACTTCTGGGATCAGCAGGAGCCAGTGATAGTCGTGCCTGAGGTGGATACCTCCTCCTCCCCGGTCAGCAAGGAGCCTCAGTGCATGGTTGTCTTTGATCACTGCAGAGTGAGTTGATTTTGTAGTCTACTCATGTGTAACCAAAAATCAAAAAAGAATCCTTATTTCTTTGAATAATTTTGCCAATCTATGTCTTGGACCAAAATGTCTTACAGTGGAGTAAAGAATTAAAGTCAATGCATTTGACTTGTCCACAGTCAAAGGGTAACTTGTATAGCCAGGCACAGTGGCGCACATCTGTAATTCCAGTGGCTTGGGATCATGAGTTCAAAGCTAGCCTCAACAACTTAGTGAGGCCCTAAGCAACTCAGCGAGACCCTGTCTCTAAATAAATTAGAAAAAAAGGCTGGGGATGTGGTTCAGTAGTTAAGTGGCCCTTGGTTCGATTCCCGGTTTTAAAAAAGGGTAACTTGGGGCTGCGGATGTGGCTCAAGCGGTAGTGCGCTCACCCGGCATGCGTGCGGCCCGGGTTTGATCCTCAGCACCACATACAAACAAAGATGTTGTGTCCTCCGAAAACTAAAAAATAAATATTAAAAATCTCTCTCTCTTTCTTTAAAAAAAAAAAAAAATGTGTGTGTCTGTGTATGTGTGTGTGTGTGTGTGTGTGTGTGTGTGTGTGTGTCTGTGTATGTGTGTGTGTGTGTGTGTGTGTGTACGCACGCGCGCACACACGCTCATGCTCATCTTCTAAAGGAATCTGTGTTTTCTGTTACATTAGTGAAGAAAAGAAATCGGAAACAGTTAAGAAGCTGTGAAAATTAAGGCAACAGACAAGAAATCACTTCACTGGGTCTGAGGTTCTGCGGAGCCCTTTGCCATTCTGTCCTTTTGTCCTTGCCAGTTATATTTCTTTGCTGCACTTCTTTTTTCAGCTGAAGGAACCGTTCACAGAAGTTACCTTGTCCACAGTAGTTGTCATCGTGTTTCCTGGGGCTTGCACTGCACTGGTCTATCAGTCTTTTTTGTTATTTACCACACTTGATCAACCTCATTTTTTTGTTTGTTTGTTTAAGTGAGGTTTTCTCCCCAGTGTGTTTAAATTCCATGACTTTCTTAATACAGCAAAATCCTTATTGCAAAATATTGTTCTGTAAAGGAGAAATGGTTGGGCTGGGTGTCCTGGTGCACTTCTGCAATCCCAGCCACCCAGCAGGCTGAGGCAGGAGGATCCCAAATTGGAGGCCAGTTGTAGCGATTTATCAAGACCCTGTTTTAAAATAAAAAATAAAAGAAGGTTGCAGATGTAGACCAGTGGTAGCAAGCACCCTTGGGTTTGATCTCCAGTACCCTCTTGCCACACATAAGGACAGGTTGTGAAAATTATTTTTTGTGCTAATAATCATTATTCTTTTATTGTAGACAATGTCCAAAAAACTGGAAAAAGTAATTTTTGCAACATATAGTTACCTTATTGGATGTAGAAATTTATATCAAGATATTATAAATTATTATAATGCTTCATATAGTTAGTTAAACATTTAAACAATAGATTTTGAAAATACAATGCAGTGCTGTTCTTACATACTAGACTTTCAAAGTGGAAGATTTTAAAAAATCAAAGGTTGAATGTTTTCTCTGATATGTAGAGAAAAATACGATGGGGGTTATAAAAAAAGAATAGAAGAAAAATCAGTGGAGTAGACAAAGGAGAATAAAGGGAAGGGGGGAGTGGATAAGGAAGACAGTGGAATCAGTCTGACCTGACTTTCCTATTCACATATATGAATATACCATGGTGAATCTCACCATCATGTGCATCCACAAGACACTAATTAAAAAAAAAAATCTATAATAGCAGAAAGATCAGTAGAACAGAGGGAAGTGAATGAGGAGGGAGGAGGGGAGTGGGGAGGGGAAGGGGGAAGTCCCTGGGACTGAATAGAACAAATTATATTCCATGCCTTTATGTCAAAATAAATTCTATGTCATGTAGGTCTAAAAAGAACCAATGGAAAAATGGAGTCTAAAAAGAAAAAAAGTGGAAGGTTTTAAAAATTCATAGTTAACTTAAAGGCAAGAACCTTTGGCCACCTGGGCACTCCCAATGTGCTTATGAAATTCTTTGGCACCAGAATACTTAATTTTTTGTTATTGTTTTTGGTGGTGCTGGGGATCAAACCCAGGTGCTATGACGCTCTGCTCAGTAACGGAAGTATTCTGTTTTCTGTTTCTTTCCTCCCTGATAAAACTTAAGTACATGATTCCTGGTATTAGTAATTGTAAGATTACCGGAAAGTGTTTCTGTTTTGTAATCAGCTGTTATCTTTCAGGAGTTTTCTGTTAACATCACGGAAGACTTCATTGAGCATCTATCAGAAGGGGCCTTGGCAATTGAAGTATATGGACATAAAATGAATGACCCCCGGAAAAACCCAGCCCTGTGGGATTTGGGAATCATCCAAGCAAAAACACGAAGTCTTCGGGACAGGTGAATTTTAGATATCCATCTAATTCTACTTATAATTTTACAACATTGCTGTAGATTGATACTGCCATTTATAAAGCTCGATGTTTCCTGAGCATTACCAGGCCCCAGAGCAGATGGTGTTGTGTCCAGGGTGCTTATATCACAGCTAAACTTCCTAGGACAGTGAACTTGGAAGAATGATGCAAGAAAGCTAAGTATGTGGTTATTTAAGAAGAAATAGTGAAATTAATGTGGAGAATGATCACTTATCACTGTGAATTATTTCTAATTATTGTCAGAGAAACAAATGGAGGTCTGCATCATTACATTGACTCTTTTCAAGTCATGGGAGTGGAAAGTGCTACCTTTGTTTGTTTATGGGAAGGTAGCCCTGTACTTGTTCTGCACATCTCACTAGAATGCTCTGATTTTTGAGTAGCCACTTTGAAAAGGATTTTATCATCATATCTTTCTGAGCAAAATAAAGGATCTATTTCTAGTCTTGATATCAAGTTAGTTTAACTTTGCTGTTCATTGTATTTGCTAGCATGTATTTGTATGTTTCTAATTCAACCATAGATCAGTTACCCGTTTGGTGGTCATTTTAGTTTCTTAGTCTCATGTGTAGGATCCTAAGCTGCCTGTATTAGAAAAGAAATGTGACTTCCCAAGAACTGCACCTGTTTTCTAGGTGGAGCGAAGTCACCAGGAAATTGGAATTCTGGGTTCAGATCTTGGAACAGAATGAGAATGGTGAATACTGCCCTGTAGAAGTGATTCCCGCCAAGGATGTTCCAACGGGAGGAGTCTTCCAGCTCCGGCAGGTAACATATCACCAATGTGCTTATGAAATTCTTTGGCACCAGAATACTTAATTTTTTGTTGTTGTTTTTGGTGGTGCTGGGGACCAAACCCAGAGCCTCATGCATGCTGTTCAAGCACTGTACCTCTGAGCTACATGTTGGATTCTTTTTAATAGAAAAGTTGATGCTGCTGCTGATATCTAGACTGACCAAGTCCATCTTACATTAAAATAATTTCCTACTTCATGTGCATTTTCTTTCCTTGTCATGAGTCTTTCTACTTACAATATTTTGAAACTAGCTTCTGTTGTGTTATTAAAAAGATAAACTTGGAATTATAGGGCATAAAACAAACATCAGGCAGGATTGTCACATTCATGAAAACAAGGAGGAAAAGGATTGTAACATGGCCAAAAGAACATGTGTTCACGGGCCAACATGCTGGATTCAGTGCCATCTCTGCAGTATCCTTACTCTGTACCTGTAGGCATGTCCAGTGCCCTCTGCCCTTTACCTGCAGTGTGGAGATGATGGCAACACCAATGTCATGGGACTGGGATGAGGATTAGGAGGGTTGCTGTATGTACAGCACAGTGCTCAGCACAGGGAAGGTGTTAAATAAATGCAGCTGGGTAGATGGGAACACACGCCAGGTCCACATAGCAGAGAAATATGTGACAATAGTCCCTCAACCCTAGGCATGTCGTGATCTGCCAGTCTACTCTGCCAACTGATAGTGGAAGGGAAGTCTTTATGTAATTTGCATAAATGATTTGGAAATACCCTCCCCCCTTTTTTTTTTTTTGCTGTGCTTTGCATTAATCTATCACTTAGCAGGCTACTGTGTCCTGTGAGATTTTTCCATAGTTTAAAATAAAAGAGTAGCTCAAGAAAATGAATGTTAAAAGTATTCAAAGCCAAATATGAGAAAAGGTTAAAAGAAAGAATTTAACTATTTAAGTTTCTAAATGTCTTACAAGAAGGAAGGTGAAAAGCACTTCTTTTGGACCCCAGCAATGAATGTGAGCAGGTGCATTCACATATAGACAAGGAACTGAAAGCAAGAGATTGGTTTAAATTGCAGCATGATATGTATGTACAGTAGAATTCTTGCCTGTGTGAAGAACTTCTTTCTCTGGGCATCAGTTAAGATGTTTATCTTCCTTGGCTGCCTTAGAAATTCCTTCCTGGAAGCAAGACGGTGATTTTTCTACCAATTAGTGTAGTTGCATAGCTGAGTGTTGGTCATACTTCTGACACCCTTTACTAAGAGTGCCTGATGATCACTGGACTTGTCAGGAAGGGGTTTTTTGAAGGATTGTCTCTTTACCTGGTTGCCAAAAAATGTCACATGAGGTCTGGGAAGGTTTCTCCTGAGCAAATGGCAGAATAAAGACCTGAGGCTGGACCTGGGTCTCTTTGCATAGAGTCACATGCCTGAGGAGCTGGAAGCAGGAGACGATGGCAGAACCTCCTGGCAGGCGACTGAGAGGGGCTCAAAGACTGAGCACACCTGAGTAGGATAAGTTTTAAAATTGGGATATATTCTTCTTGAACAGGACAGTGGCAGAGGACAGCTGATAGGGCTTAGCCACATAGAAACTGCTGTACACAACAAATGCTGGGATATCAGCAGCTGCAACAAGTTCAGCCACTAGTTGAAGTGCACTTTGCAAAGCTTTGCTGTGGAGCAGTGAGCCGTTCCCACCCTGCCCTCCTCCCTTCCCTCTCCATACCTAGAATCTTCCCACTGTGTCCTGTTCACTGTTTATGTGTTCCGAACAGATTGCTTTCTGATTTAAAAGGTAGCAAATTGAAATAATATTAGACTATTAAAATATTTTCTGAGGAATTTTTCCACAGAATAACTGATGCATAATTCTTAGAAAATATAAACTCAAAAGATGTCTGTATCCTGTCCATTCAAACGAAGCTTGATGGGATCAATGCATAAGTAGATTTTCCTCATCATCAAATCTCTTGGGAGCTAAGTGTAGTGGAAGCAGACAAGAGTAATTGATTTGAAACATATTCAGATTCCATTTTCATACTCTGTTTTCTGTCCCTAACATTTATAAACTAAGTTTGAAGTCAGTAATTTGAGGATACTGGGAATTCTTTCTGACCATGTACTTCATGGTAAATATATGGAGTCACATAGGAGTTACTCAGAAAACAGTTTTAAGTAGGAACAGCTTTTTCTGATCAGTTCCTTTTGCTGTTTAGCTTAAAATTATTTTTTATTCTAGGATTAGGGCAGTGATTCCAAGGTAGTTAGCCTTTCTAGTTTCTAACTCCGATACCTGTGTTTAGATGCTTGCGTTTAGAAGTGGCCCATGTGTGTCTCCTGCCCTTGGTTACTTGTTCTTTGCCTGGGCACGCCACACATTTCCCGCAGTAATAGTTTAATGACTACATCGTGTTTCATTATACATGCCGGCTTATTTGAACAGTTATGGATTCTGTACATTCGATTTATATCTATTTTTTGCTATTCTTCACAGTGCTTTCAGATTCTTTATAAAAATGCACGATTATTTACTTAGGACATATCCCTTCAAAGTCAATTCTGGGGCATAGGATACTTATATTTTTAAGTCATATTGCCCAACTTAAATTCTTGCCCTACAGTTTTGAAATTATTTTTTAAATTTTGGGTGGTATTGTAAATTGCCTGTTTCACATATAATTGCTAGTGTAACAAGTAGAAATTAAAGTGTGTTGTGGTTATTTTAATTTGTATGTATTTGATTATCAGATAAATTGAACATTGTTTATTAGACAATGGTTCACATTTCCTTTGTTAGAATGTTTTCTTTTAATGTTTCTTTTTATTGATGAAATGTCTTTTTACTTGGTAAAAAGGAACATAAGTTTTCCTGTCTGGTTTTGGATTTGTATGTTAGTACTTAAGAGATCTCCAAAGTTAAATGTTTTTCTCAGCGTGGACCTGTAGGGGTCTCTCTAAACCAATTTTTTTGGAAATAAGAAACTGACTTTTAGACTGAAAATTCTCTGTGGTCCAGGGGCAGTCCCGGCGAGTTCAAGTTGAAGTGAAGTCTGTGCAGGAGTCTGGGACTTTGCCGTTGGTGGAAGAGTGTATACTGTCTGTTGGCATTGGATGCCTGAAAGTCAGACCACTCAGGTCCCCCAGAACTCTTGACGCCTTCCAGGTAAGTTTCTGTGACTGTTTTTGGTTTGTTAAAAGACCAACCCAGACCAGAGTCTTTGGGAACCCCGGGCACACCGCGTTCAGGGAACAGTGCTCTTGGCATTGCCAGACTCTGCTGGCTTGCCCTGGTCCTGGCAAACAGAGGGTTAAAACTCTTCAGCCTCCTCCACTCCCCAGTGCGTGGTGATTAGCCGCTCTGCACTGCAGCCCCTCTGCAGAAGCCCCCCACTGGCTTGTGAAGCCTACTTGCCAGCAGGGGTTTGATTTCCCCTGGTGAGTGGGACTGTAAGCCCAGCAGGGTGAGTATTGTACTGGCTCCCGAAAAGGTCAAACAGTGCTCTTCACCCCCAACCCCCAGGGGCTCAAGGTTTTCCTCCACTTCCTGACAACTGTAAAGCTCTGACTGAGGGTGCTGTAGGTGGGAGGTGACAGAAACTCTGGGGGAAGATTCAGACTGTGTAGCCTGATTCTTGGATAATTATTTTGGTTCTCCATGATGCACTTTTTCTTTTAGGAGGAAGAGGAGGACATGGACAGCTACCAGGTAATTGAGCGTCGGTTAGCCTGTCAGCTTGATTCAAGTACATAATTACACATTCTAGGAGCTTGTTGTGCTCTTACTTGATAATTAAGTAATTTTGATTCAAATGGTGCATCTTCTTAAAGTAACACAGAGTAGGAGGATGGTATTGTATCATGGATATCAGGGGTCGTGAAGGCAGGTGCGTTAGGAGCAGAACATCACTTCCCTGTCCTTCCCCACACCTGGATCTCTCCATCCAGGCTCCTAAAGAGCAGTTTCCCCAGCTGCTCTTCCCTGGCCTCTGCTTGAGTGGAGTCATTGGCCCTGCTCCTGTTCCAGTGTCGCCCTGAGCGTGGTCCAGCCCTTGGTGTTTTTCCTTATTTGAAGCCAGTTCTCCCTGAATGCCCTTCCTGCACTCATCCAGGGTTTTTGTGGTATTATTTTTCCCTTTCTTCTCTTTCCCTAATCTGCCATATTTTGTCTGTGTCTGTGAAGTTTCATCCTGTTAGTCATCCTTGAGGACTGTCTCAGCCCTGTGGAGCCTGATGATGTCATCCAGTGCAGTCACTCTCTGGCTTTGCATCATTCTAATTGGATAGAAACGTCTGCGTTCCTGCAAGTCACTGATAAAACGCATTGTATCAGATGGTGTTACATTCAGGGTCCTATGGCACAGCAGTAGAGACCTCTTTAAGCTGACATGATTCCATTACTCACTGCTGTTTAGATGTGGTATTTGAGTCCTCTGCGATCTTACTCAAGTAGATGCATTGCGCATTCCTCCATGTTGTCCACAAGAATGTCATGGGCTATTTGGTTAAGTGCCCTGGTGAAATCCAGATCCATGGCGTCTGCAGCATTCCACTGACCTACCCTGTCTTGTAACCTTATTACAGAGGAAATGAGGGAAGATTGGCGTGCTTGCAGGTGTTGACTGGTAGAGTTGTTGGTCTGCTGGTAATGATCCCTGTCCTCTTGTCCTCCCCCATATACAATAAGGGGAGAAGCATTTATGTGGCATGTCTCTAAGAGTCTGGTGCAACGTGGGAAAAGGGGTTGTAGCATTTAAAGCCCCTTCTGATGGTTCTGGGCTATGTAAATCTGAAGATTAGTGAATGGAGTTTGTAAGTTCTTTCCATCAAAGAGGACTTATAGACCTTCCTTGCTTGGAGTTCTGTCCCATGAGCCACTAGAAATAACACTGGCCAGGGTGCCAGAGATATCCCTTTCAGAAATAATCTGCTTTAGAAGAAAATGCTTTAGATTCTGAGAGTTTCTCTTTTAAACTACAGTAAAGGTATCTGGTGGTGCTAATAATGAAGTTTTGTGTGATACATCTTTTAATCGTGTTAAAGAAAGGTGAACTAGAGCATCGGTTTCACAGGTACTGTCTTGACATCATGTTGTATGTGGTGAATATGGTTTCCCTTATTTTCTTCCAGGATCGGGATTTAGAGCGATTACGTAGAAAATGGCTAAATGTGCTAACAAAGCGTCAAGAGTATTTGGATCAACAGCTACAAAAGCTTGTCAGCAAACCTGGTAGGAAGAGTAACTCACTATTTCCCTCCCTGAAGTTGGTGAATAGTTAATAACCCCGTTCATAGACATGTAAATTAAGAGCCTGTATCAGCAATGTGGATGGCAAGAGCACATGAGTGTGACTCCTGGTTTGTGCCATGTCCCTTCAAGAGAACATTCATCCAGTTGTGATAATATGTTGGTGTGGTCCCCAACCCCCAACAGAGGAAGGGAATGCAGTGGGCAGAGCACATACTGGTCATTAGAAACAGCTTCAGGAAAGGCGCTGATGTTCCCAAGTGGTTCTGCCTGGGCCAGGTTGCCGTGTGCCCAGGGGCTGAAGGGGCGTCTCTGCAGGAGCCCAGCTGACCTTTGCTTGGGTTAGTTCTTATCACTGTGAGCACCCAGTGCCAGCAACTGAAACACGTGATATTTCCAGAGGTAGAAACATCAAGTAGCATTTCTGGATCAAGTGTGTGTGTGTGTGTGTGTGTGTGTGTGTGTGTGTGTGTGTGTGTGTG